GAGTTAAATTCTCAAACGTGTAAGGCAATAATAAGATGAAAGTATCACAAAATTATTTGAATAAACCACATCGCATATATGGGGGGCGAATGTCCTAAAGAGGGGCGATATTCCTAGGGTATTTGCCCCACCCCCCTGGGAGGCGATATTCCCAGGATATTCGCCCTAGGAATATTCCTAGGAATATCGCCACGTTTTGAGGAGGGGGGGGGCGAATTTCCTGGGGGGGGGCGATCTTTTTAAAAATTCTATCTTGCCCCCCCAAAATTTGAGTTTGCCCCTCAAATGCCCCCCCCCAAATTTGGAAGCCTGGCGCCACCACTGATTCTTATAAATGTTTACGTTAAAAAATGGTAAAAAAGTTGTATAATTTGTTATGTGAAACGATTTTCCAAGATTTCTGACATGTGTTTTCCTGGCAAACAGTCATATTTTGAGATCAGTGAGATGACCACCCACCAAAACCCAAAAGGCACAGTGACCCACGCCCGCGATCATTGATGAACTTTAAACTTCGCTAATGCCTTCCTTTTTTCAGGTGTAAATAGCCGGGTGGAATTGGTACCCTTGCACTGGACTTACGCCCGGAACGGCGCTCTGCGCCGTTGGCTCGGGGATAACAAAGTCAGGAAAACTTTGTCAGAGGACGGTTCGCTATAAACGTAAGCTAAACTACTATTGTCGCGAACATTTTTATGTAAATTATTAGTAAGTAATAGCATGGTTTCTCGTGAAATTTGGATAAACATGCACTCGTGAGTTTTTCAAAGACCTCAAATAGCACTCGTCCTTTGGACTCGTGCTATTTTGAGGTCTTTAAAAAACTCACTCGTGCATGTTATACCAAATTGCATTCGAAACCATGCTATTAAATATGGTAAATATATTAAATATAGCATGTTAATTACGAAGAGGAGTAAAATATAATAAAGATAGTATAAAGCAGGATTAATTTTGTCCTAACTTAGTACGCGGTGAATGGGTTGCTAAAGGCTTCACAGTGGTTGGTGTATTTTTCTCCCCTATAACTAAGGTCACTGAGGTGTGATTTCTGAATTAACACGCAGTTGTTTAAATAGAATTTCGACTTTAATAAATGCATGTAAGAAGACCAATAGAGTTTGACTTTACCAAACACCGCAGTTGCAAATAGGCGGTAAGTTCAACTTCGAATTGATCTATACCGCGAAGTAATAACAATGAGCTGATCACGTGGTCAGCTTTTAACGATTGTGATTGGTTACTTTTCAAGAATGTCTAGATGTTTCGGTATCTTAGCAACAGCCACTCACGCTTGTCCACGCGTTATTCATTCATTGTCTATACCATGAGTCTCTTCGTGTACCACATAAACACAAGTGCTGAAGGAAGTTGTCCTCATATGTGCTCCTGTTCGCTGTAAGTCACAACTGTACAATCAACAACGTGGCAGACTAGCTACTTTTGGACATAAATTCAGGTAAATTCTAATCTCGGTTGTTCAGTTTGTGCAATACCTTAGAAGTACCATTAATACTTCTTATATTATTTAATATTGCACTTTTTCAGATTCTTTTCATGCATCATGAATTTTAAAGCTTTACTCGTTGTTTTGACTGTCGTTTGTCAGGTAAGCTGTTCTAATACAAATTTTAGTTTTCACGCTACTAGTTACTTCAAGTTTCTGCCCCATGGCTATGCAGCAGTAGCTGCGAGTCCACTGGGAAAGAATAAATACGAGAGACTGGTACAACACTATTTTATTCAAGACGTATACAATATATGCACGATCTAACCATGCTTATTTCAGCAGTGAGTTTTATACCATGTCCGTTTGGTTGAACCACGTTTAAGTCAGTACTGAGTTTTTACAACAGCAGATCACTTTTAAAGTAGCTATCATTCACAGCAAGGACGTGTATTTCCATGGGCATTGCATTATCTAACCATGCCAGTTAACTTGCACGGGGCCAACGTGCAGCCTCACTAGTCAGTTAACTCGGCCTTTTCCGGCTTAGCTGCCCTGTAAAATAAGGTATTATCGTAGTGACAAAAAATAATCATCTGAAGAATTATGAGTTGGCTATCTTTTTACGAGCAAATTCTTTAACTGTTGGTAGGCATGAACAGAATAATCAATTTTTGCATGAAACTTAACGATAGAGCCGATATTTTACATGCAACGCAGTTCGCGTTTTTTCAAGTCCCAACTTATTGTCGTATGTAAATATTTTAATTACGAAGCTGAGACGGAAATAAATAAGACAATGCATTACGACAGGTGGGGGGTAATGTTAGTTGAAATTCATGCATACAGCGTAAAATAGCAGCCGATAATAATACAATTACATGACATAGTTAATAGAATAGATGTTTTGGAAACTTATTTGAATAACAATATAACTCATTATCTATGTTAGTCAACGTTTATTTATAAATCTGGTCGTTCACCGTTACGTGCGTATAGTGTGACGCGCGAAAGCGGACAAAATTACTTTTCCGAAATATATATGACGTCACTGATCAAATATAAAGCAACAACACAAATACAGTAGGAATTGCCGTATATATATATATATATATATATATATATATATATATATATATATATATATATATATATATATATATATATATATATATATATATATATATATATATATATATATATATATATATATATATATATATATATATATATGTATATATGCATATATATGCCTATATATATATATATATATATATATATATATATATATATATATATATATATATATATATATATATATATATATATATATATATATATGTGTGTGCTAATTCTTTAATATAAAACATGTTCTATAATATGGTATAAAACATGTTCTATTATATGGTATATAATTATATACCGTATATATCATCGTTTTTAAATATGAACAATGTTGCCGATTATTTAGCGTCTTCCCTCATATATATATATAAACAGTATTGGAATATATAAATCACATCACATATATAAACCTTAAACAATGTTCCCATATATAAATCACCTCGCATGCCAAATCTATAAAGGATGGTTACAAAGCGTTTGCTTTAACCGAATTATATGAAGTACTGCTTAAACCAATAAACAACGTCTTGTATAAAGTGCAGGCGTCTTTTCACTCGACGTTGAGTTTAAGTGGTCATGGCTGACAAGCATAATTATGCAAATTTTGGCTAAATTTGGGTGAAAGCAGTTACCAGTGTTGCTGATCGTGGCATATCACAGGGATAGAATAGCGAGGGAAATAGTTCGGTTAGTGTTGAAGAAACAATAAAGCGGTTGTTTCCATCAACAGAGGGTGGTCAAGGCGCAAACGCAAAAAAAAATACAGTGCTAGAAAAGCGTGCCGTGGAACAAGAAAGGAATGAAAATCTTATTCAATTCGAAAATATTACAAATATTTTCCCCATAGCCATCCATCTCAATAATATTTTGTGGCGTTTGCACCTTGACTGCTTGACAGCCCTCTGTTGATGGAAAACAACCGCTTAATTTTATTCTTCAACACTAACGAAACTAAGTTCCCTCGCTATTCGATTCCTGTGATGTGTCACGATCAGCAACATTCCATGCCGGTAACTGCTTTTATTAAATTTGCCAAAATGCGCATCAAACTCAACGTCGAGTAAAAAGACGTTGTTTATTGGTTTAAGCAGTACTTCATATAATTCGGTTAAAGCGAACGCTTTGTAACCACCCTTTATATATTTGGCATGCGAGGTGATTTACATATGGGAACATTGTTTATATATGTGATGTGATTTATATATTCCAATACTGTATATATATATATATATATATATATATATATATATATATATATATATATATATATGGGGCTACGGTGGCCAAGTGGTTAGCGCACTTGCCTTTCACCTCTGAGGCTGCAGGTTCGAATCTCACTAAGTACTTTCTCGGTGCGACTCGAACCCAGTCCCCATGTGAAAAGAGTAAAAGTCAACGCTCTGCCGAACGCCGTGGGTTTTCCCCGGGTACTCCGGTTTCCTCCCACAGGGAAAAGTTGACAGGGTGGGTTAGGTAAAAAGGGCCCACAGTAATTGGCATATGCTGTTGTGGTGACCCTGCCTTAGTTGGCGAAGCTAATAAAAACAAAAAATAAAAACAAAAATATATATATATATATATATATATATATATATATATATATATATATATATATATATATATATATATATATATATATGAGAGAAGATGTTAAATAATCGGCAACATTGTTTATATTTAAAAACGATGATATATATATTTAAGAACATGTTTTATATTAAAGAATCAGCACACATATATATATACGGCAATTCCTACTATATTTGTATTGTTGTTTTATATTTGATATTGACGTCATATATATTTCGGAAAAGTAATTTTGTCCGCTTTCGCGCGTCATAGTATTGTATTTTTGCCTAACTAACCAATAGCAATATCTTAGAAAAGTTACCTCTCCGGATCCGTGACTCGAACAATGGGGTAAATTGGAAATTGCTATTGGTGGATTTGGAAAAAATACAATACACACGTGACGGTGAAGTACCAGATTTATGAATAATCCTTGACTAACATAGATAATGATTTATTGTTATTCTAATGAGTTTCCAAACCATCTATCCTATTAACTATGAGCCATAAAACCATATTTAGCATATATCCGTTTTATTGACTGGCTAAGTGAATTCTACCCTTGCCGTTGATTGGCTAGCTAAGGTCACCACTTCAATACGATTGGTTTTAAAATGATGAGATTACAACTCATGCTGATGCCGAGCAAAGCTCGAAATTAATAGTGCGATTACAGCTCTAAAATAGTGCGATTTGGACTGTAATCCCACTATTTTTAGCCAATCAGATTGCTCGAATCGTGCATGATTTCAAGTTAATATAATAAACACTAAAATCAAATATACGTTGCATGGCGTGGCTTAGCAAGATTGAAATGTAGAAATTTTTGACATTTACTGTTTTATAATATATGCAACATCCACACTCAATTCGGTGTTTGATTTTTTAAGAGCAAATTATGTCTATAACCATACTTAATTCAGCAGTGAGTGCTCCTGACAACATCATACCACTTTAGGGTAGTTACTGCATATATACTGTCAGGTCTAGCCATGCTTATAAGATTACGCGGTAAATTTAAACAACATTTGATCACCTAATAAATTGGCGTAACTGATATTCAAAAACATGTACTAACCTTGTATAATCTTGTCATGCATGCTAAACTTAGGACATGGTACAAGGACGTGCTGCATGGGGTCTTGAATAGGACGACGAATCAGGAACGTCTGATGGGAGCCCTGCCCCAGTGACGGATGGATCTAGATTGGGGTGGGGGTATTGCTGATAGAAAATAAAACATTTAAAATGCTAATTATTCTTCCCCCCCCCCAAAAAAAAAAGGTGGCGGTGTGGAAGGGGAGTAAAATAATTTCCGAGCATTCCATTTTTCAGTAACCGTAATTTTTTTAGTAATATTTTCGTCAATAAAGATTTTCAAAATATAAATTGTAATATCTTAATCTTGATTTTCAAAATTAAAAGCTATAATTTTTATCTTTTACAATGTTTTAATTTTAGGGGCCCATGGTGGCAGGGGTCTACAACAAGTTCTTGTCGGCTCATCCTGAGTAGTCCCTAGCCAGCACGTCCCTAACATGGTACACGGCAACTTAGGGTTGCCACAATTATGATTACATCTTAGACCAACACAGAAAAATCATTATCTTGAAGGTCATTTAAAAAAGCGTTCTTACAAGTTTCTTAGCTCTCAGTCTTGAGCTGGAATTGAGGCCGTGTCGTCGTGTTTGCCTCGTTGTCGTCTCTAAATCTGTCTAATACACACGTAAAAACGCACAAGTTGTTACAACTCTGCAAAAAAATTGTTACAAATCTGTTTACAATTGTCTTCGTACTGCTTGTTCCCATATTTGTTTGGAACAAGCTGTTGACAACTCAGTTGTGAGTTGTAACATGCTTGATAGCATTATCAGACTTGTCATAAGGTTGTTCTAACAAGTCTGATACAGTCGTGATAAACAAGAATGTTACCAGGTTGATGACACAAGGTTGTAACAATTCTGCTGTATCATGACTGCTTGAACTGCTTGTTACAAGATGTGAGATTTTTGCGTGTGTTGTAGACCGAATTTCAATGCAGATTCTTATACCCTCTAGTTCTGTGCTGTGTTCTTAAGTTTTGTCTTTTATTGTATTTTTAAATCACTGTATAATTAAATGGTTTGATTGATACATTTCAGACTAACGAAGCGGCATGGATCGTGCGACGACTCAGAAACGTGACAGCACAAAGTTGTCTCGACTATCTAAAACGAGGTGTTAAAACCAACGGTTTCTATAGTATCAAAAACTACGGAAAGGACGGATGGGTCCACGGCACAGTTTATTGTGACTTTGAGTCCGAGCCAGGATTTGCGTGGACTTTGGTCGAATCATTTGCATTGAAAAACAAATTGCTGCCTGCGTTTTTCATCCATCCACTCAAAGTCAATGCCACTGTGAACCCCAACTCTCCGAACTGGAATCTTTTCCGAATGTCCTTCCTACAAATGAGTAGATTAAGAGCACAATCAACTCACTGGAGAGTCACTTGCTCTTTCCAAACAAACTCTGTTGATATTTACCGAGATTATGCCAGGACAAGCTTCAAGGAGTTTGACGTATTGGATTATGTGGGTGATAATGTATGTAAGAAGATGGAGTACATCAATATCCGCGGTCAACAGTGTACACAATGTACGGTAGGTTGGATTGCAACGCTCAACAAGTTTGCCCTTCATATTGACGGTCCAGCTTCGACATCTTGTCAGTTCAAGCCAGGGAAAGATGCTGTAGTCACTGAAGATAACTTCGGTCATTACTGGGCAATCAATAAGAAATTTCGTTGTACCACATCGCCTGATGCCACAACCAACTATTGGTTCGGTGGTTTTTATTAAATACTTGTTGCATGACTTACATTTCTCTTGTTCTGAAACATGTTAACGTATAATTATATTCAATCAATACCTATATGATGTTAATTTACTAGTTATATTCTTACTTCCTAAGGCTAAGATTTGTAAGTTGACTCGTATAGTTTTTAAATGGTAAACTGTCAATATTATCGTAAACGATCATTTTATTCGTAATTTTAATGCTAAGTGTAAAAAAAGCTTTGAGATAATGATTTTGGTTGCATTTCTTTGTCTGTTTTTTTTTCCTTTTTTATCAATGTTCAACAAGAGAGTTAATTTATTAAACATTCCATGGATAGTCTGGATAAGCCTACGTGATTAATTTGCAACAACGATTCGCAACGTAACGAGTTCCCGAATCTAATAAATTTCGTGTGACTTCACCTGCATTGCCAATTGTTGAATATTTTTTGTACCATCGCCTTAAAAGGCAATCATGATGTACAGGGTGTCCCCAAACAAAAAAACTATATTGAAATCACTATTGTTGAAATTTGAATGTCCTTCCAAACAGTTGAACGTAATGATGCGTAAAATACTGACAAGGTGCATGTATTAAAATTTAGTTAAAAACATCTTCTTGTAAAGTGCGCGATTTTCTGCTCTTGGGAATTTAAAACAGCTTCTTAAACAGTTCTTTATGCATAAAATTTATATATGTCAATCATTTATGCACTCGTGGGAACCAACAGAGTGCTAAGGGCATTCAAATTCTAACCATTAAATTGTTATTGGTGATTTGAATAGTTTTTTTGTTTTTTTGGGACACCCTGTATAGTTGCAACAGTTCGATCAAGCAATATTTATCATAATTAATTATGTATAGATATCATCTCTGACTGTTTGATTTATTTATCACAAGCTTTGGGCCATCTTACTATTGCCTTCCAAGCAGTGTCACTGATTCATGTGGTGGACTTAATTAAAAGTCGTGTATCGTGAGTAAAAAGTCGTATGTCGTGTCGTGGGTGTGGGTAAAGTTGTCGGTAAAGTGGCTGGTGCGCTCGGTTGGCAAAAAAACCGAAATTGCTTGGCATAGTCATTCGCGACACAGTTATATGGATTATAATTAACGATTCCAAAGCTAACGTTAGAGGATCCGAATACATTTACCCTCAAACAATGCATATAGAAATGAAAACATTGACTTTTCTGTTAATAAAAAAGGTATAAAGAATATATAAAATAAATATTTTCGTGAAAAAGCCATTAAAAACGCATTTTATTACCCACGACTTTATCCACAGCCAGTGTAACCCACGATACACGCCTTTTTAGCCACGACACACGACATATAACGACACTTTTCAATATCAAACTAGCGATTTAGATCGATCCGAAAGCGATCCAGCCTCACGAATGGGGCCAAGTGTGGACGAGCAAAAACAAGCCAAGGCAGATTCGAGACCCGTGAGGTGGTTTCGGATCGGTTCACGTTTTACAACCCGAGCTAATTTCTTGCGCAGCAGCCTGGAATTTTCGCCGTTTATATTCGCGCCACGGCATGCACGTAAGTTAATTCGGTTAATTCATTTAAGTTTTTGCACAACTGCGGGAACTCCACCAAGGAACGGAAACTCTATCCACAATCCGCATTTTCCACACTATCCATAATCCGCATTTTCCACTCTACCCACAATCCGCATTTTCCACTCTATCCATAATCCGCATTTTCCACTCTATCCATAATCCGCATTTTCCACTCTATCGACAATCTGCATTTTCCACTCTATCCACAATCCACATTTTCCACTCTATCCACAATCTGCATTTTCCACTCTATCCACAATCCGCATTTTCCACTCTATCCATAATCCGCATTTTCCACTCTACCCACAATCCGCATCTCGCGTTTTCTACCTAAACCTTTGAGATCGTTTTAATTTGATCGAGACCCAACGGCCCATAATTATATAAATAGAAAAATATGACTTGCTGTTTTGAAAATGTAACTCTCACAATACCAAAAATGTCTCTTTCCCAGAATTTTCAAAATTCAATGTCAACGGGGCAGGGGAAGAAGACAAAATTTTTTCAGGGGGGATGGGGTTTGCACGTTGGGCTATATTTATTTTTCAACTAGTTTAATAATCGTTGTGCTTCCTTGCAATTGTTTGCCCGGTTATTAAGTATGAAATTCGCCAGGCAATTCCCAAAGGCTCTAGAGTTATTAACAGCGTCATTACAAAATGACTGACATGCAGTGTTTAGTTAATACCACTGAGCTATACTATATTACTGGAGGAGGTGCTCCTATCTCTCTTCAGTCAAACAAGTGTCGCCAAAAACATGGCGGATTTCGTTGGATTTCGGCCTTTGCTGACGCCAGAATGACGCCACTGGTCCCAAATCCTCGTGGTAATTACCACTGAGCAAGGCTCATTTTGAGCCCGCTACCACTTTCACATCCCCCTGATTTTCGCAAAAATATTTTAGCTTTTTGTTTTGGAGTTTGACTCGGATTTTGCCTTCTCTTCGACATTTTAACATTTGTTTCGAGTTGCACAAGTGGCAAGAATCATGCTGGCTAGTGAAGACAGGGAACAACGAATATTTAAACCTCAAGAAATTTCGTAAAGACGTTATTTGTAAAGGTAAAAATATACTGTTTATATGTTCAATATTTATTTGTGATAAAGTAGGTCAAAACAAAGCGAAATAAACATCATATTTGTACTGTGTAGTGGACAATTTTAGCAACTGATGTATACAATTAAGTTGTCAAAACTATATTAATACGAGAAACAGTCTTTCTCGAAAGAAAATGGTTGAAATTTCAGATGTTAGTTTCATTTGTTATTTCAAATTTTACGATATAAAATGCCATTTTTGACCACCATCTGCTTCATGATACTACTTAGTAAATTTAAAGTGCTTTCTATTATATTAGTGTACCTATAGAGAACGACCTTTTTAAGCCAGAACTATCATCACTTTGAATGATTTAATCCATGTACTTAACTGGCCACTGATGGCAATGAAATTATAATGTGTAGAATTATCAAGTCTATCAAGATCCAAAAATTGGCTGTTAAATTCTACCAACTTCTGTTGAAGCTAGTTTCATATATAAGATGAGGTTTAGAGGCCTGTAGCATTTTCCCTAGAAATTGCATGAGTAAAATCAATTTCATAATTAACCCATTGAGCCGCAATGCGCCCTACTTATTTTTTACTTGTAACGCCAGACGATATTATACTCGTCAATGGGTCATTCCAGAAAACATGTATACCACCCCCACGGAGGAAATAGGAAGTTAACCCCCCCTACCCCCTTTGGATGTCCTAAATAATTAAATACATTTACTATTATCAGAAACAATTTTTTCTCCCCTCCCCCTCCGGACGGCAGAAATTTCCTCAGTGAGGGGGAGTATATGGATCTTTTCTGGAACGACCGAATGGGGAAGCTCTGCAGCTTAATGGGTCAAGAAAATGAAACATTCTTGATGATATTTGATCTTGGCAATTCATGCATTTTTGGAGGAAAATATTTTACACAGTGGTTTTCGCCTGACACCAAACCCCAATATTTACATGCTATTTGTCTGAACTATTTTCCTCATTCTTTCAACATGCCAAAGTGATACAAAATAAATTTCAGTTGAATTCAAACAAGTCCTCGGGCCCTGAGTTGTCAAGACTATCACCTTAATTGTTAGCAGCATGTATCTGCTAAGCCCTGGGTTCAAATGAGTGGAATTTCAAGAGCATTCTGACCAGCTTTGTGCACACAGGTGGCCTTACCGGTCAGGATGAGGGCCAGTTAAGGTTACAGTTGGGTGTCGGCAAGGTTCATGTAAACTTATTGTTTAATAAGCAAGAATGTTATGTGTACACAATCACGTGTAATGTCGTATCGGATTAATAGCAGTTAAATGTTGGGATCCAGTATCGAACAATAACCACAACAATTATTAGATAAAGTATTTGGTTGTTTTAGTGTAATATTCATTTCTCACATATTTTTTTCAGAAATAAAGTACCATTCAGCAACTTGTTGGGAAAGAGGAGTCACAAACTGTTGATGAATATATTTAATTAACTACACATAAAATACAATTTTATTAACAGTATATTGATTTATGGGTTTATTAGACCACATTATTTTCATATTATTAATAATTAAAAATAAAATTAACAAATAAATTACAAAATCAAATGTGAAAATATTGCAATAATCAATTAAAATGTCAAACCAGCCAATTGTTTCAAATTATAGCTGTTATTGTAATTGAATATGTCTATGCTATGGACCAGTGGTATCTGCATTATTTTAACATCGAGACGAGGCTATAGGGTCATGTTTTGTGTTTTTTTTACCCTTTAGCCTCGTTTTCGTCCGTACTTCCACTGAGATACCACTGGTTCGCCGCAGCGGGTTTTTCTTGGCATCTGGAAAAGTGTAATAGAATACATCCAATCAGTCATCTACTATATTATGTATATAATTTGATCTACATGCTATTGAACATTATATTATTTTTTTTCCCATTTCAAATATTAAAATATGTCGATCTTTCGGACATAGAAATTAGAGTGTTGTGAAATAAGCATCCCCACCCATGTACTATCCATAAATTCATATTCGTCAAGAAAAATTCATGTCTATTTGCTGGCCTTTTTATATATGAACTAAAACTTTACTTGTACAACTATCTATTGGAACCTTTGCAGAGATGCCTCCTATGTTAGCCATGAAAAAAGATTAAAATTGTCTGTTAAAATCACAACTCAAAATTGTAGTGTGAGCCTTGCAAGCTTTTATTCAACACTTGAGAGACAGAGACACTACAGAGATCCTTGTTAGGAACAGTTTTGATCTTTTTTGTGCCCATTACAACCATATATTGGGCCTCCTATGACAATATATTAAAACCCTAGATCCTAGGATAAGTTGGAACTATTGACACCATTTGGACTTGACACTTGTCCATCATTTTAAGGCATTTCTGTTACAATACTGTATGTGAAAATTGATGTTGGATCTTTGGGTAAGGAGTCCAGAGGAAAACAAAAACTATGACCTGCCCAAATGCAAAATAAAACACAAAGAAAAGTGATAAAGGCAGAAAAACACCAGCTGCTGTACAGCGTCGTTATATTTGTAAATTTCGTATCCAATTTTTTCTTTTAAAAAACGGTATTTAGTACAAATGAAGCACAGAAAAAGAGTTTAATACATCTTACCGGTAAAAAGAAGTGTTTCTTCTTGATATTAAAGAATTGTGGCATCATGAAGCCATGCAAAAACTCGGCATTTTTTCTTGATGTTTTTTATATAAACTTTCAGCAGAAGTTTCAGCTTTTTTGTGCAAAAACCAGGGGGGTGAAATCGTCGTCTGAAGCCGAGGATCGCGGTTGGTCAGTGGTAATTACCACGAGGATTTGGGACCAGTGGCGTCATTCTGGCGTCAGCAGACGTGAAAATCCGCCATGTTTTTGGCGACACTCTTTCATGCCGAGCACTTCCTCCAGATATATTATAGCTCAGTGGTTCAAACCTATGAGAAGTACTTTGAAAATTCCCGCCAAAGACTAGCGGAAGTACATTGTCGGAGATTGCATCAGCCGACGCGACCGGGAGTAAACTGCTATAATTCAGCCAATAGTAGGGCTGCATTTACATGTGCTTATATAGCGAAATATTTGTTGTTGACAGAGAGAGTTTTTTGTGAGATTACCGATATATAGCGAAGATATATCATTAAAACTTTATTTAAATATCGATACGAGTGATTTTTCGTAGATACGTACTCTGGAGGCGAGTAATTTACGAAACGTGGCACCTTCAGACGGAATTTGAGATTATAAATATTATCGTGTACGTATATTTATAATACATTGTGAGATTATCGTGTATGTTTATTTCGTGACGACGTGGTTATATTTTGGATATTATGGCGACCAAACCCGAAGAGAAAATCGCAGTTCTGGATGTTAAATTAAAGCAGTTACTTATTACATGTGGGAGAACCGTATCTGTGTTAGAATCGACGAAAGATGTCGCAATAAATCGCCAAATAGAGTCGCTAAAAGCGCTTTCGAAAGATGTCGAACAATCGCGTCGCGAAGTCGAACCAGAAGATGAAATAACGACATGGAATGCCGAAGTTGAAGAGAAATTATCGATGGCAGATGAGGATATTAAGCGACTCGAGAAATGGCAAGACGAATACAAGCAAAAGAAAGAATCCATAGCGCGAGAAGAGCAGTTCAAGTTTGAAATAAAGCTTCACGAAACTAAATTACAACTTCAATCGGAACAGAATACGAAAGTTTTGGGTAAACAAACCATTGGAGCGGAGAAAGAAGTCGCCATAAAGCTGCCAAAGCTAGTAATAACGAAGTTCGACGGGTCATTCACCGACTGGAATCGGTTTTGGGGACAATTCAGCGAATCTATAGAGAAATCTGGCATCGCAAACGTTGTGAAATTTTCGTATCTAAAAGAGTTACTTGGCGACAAAGTACGACGTCACACTTCCGGCCGTTTACTTCCGAAGGTTATAATCGGGCGAAAGCTATATTGTGTGAGAAATACGGGAAAGAAAGCGAGATCGTGAAAGCATATAGTAAGAACATACTAGATTTACCGTTAATAACATCGAATAACCCAAAAAGGATCAGCGAGTTCAGCGAAAAGTTAACGTACTGTGTACAGTCCTTGCAGACTATGAAGAAGTTGGATGGCGTGAATGGTCTGACCTCATTGACACTTGACAAATTACCGGCGATTCGGGGAGATTTGGTAAGATCAGATAAGGAATGGGAGTCTTGGGATCTGGACAAACTTGCAGAAGCCTTGCGGCTGTGGGTGCGCAGGAATCCAGTTGATACATCACATCGTGATCGGGACGAAGAGCAAGAGAAGAAGAGACGAGAGATGAAACTGTTTCATTCTCGTCTAGGACGGGGTTGTGTATATTGTGATTCTAGTGATCACAAAGCTAATGACTGTCAGAAAGTAACAACAGTCGCTGATCGCAAACAAATCCTTGCCAAGAAACATCTTTGCTTCAACTGTGCTCTCGGGAGCCACCAAGCAGCCAAATGTCAGAGTAAAAATTCGTGCCAAAAGTG